AAAGGAGACACATTTAGAGAAGAAAATTTTTCGGTCACTACCCGGATTCGAACCCGGGACCTTTGAATGAGAGGCCAACACCTTAACCTCTAGGTCACGAGAGCCCCCAGTCCAGGTCTAATAGTAAAAGGAAAATAATACTTAATAGTTATAGCATACAGGCCTGCGGATGACACAGTTTTAATTGCGGACTCAAAGAATGACCCCCAACTGCATCTGGATGCTGCACTGTTGTGACGGGATGTAAACGTAAAGGGTCACTGATGAATGGGAAGCGCAGATGATTGATGATGGGAAGAGAAGAGAATGCATAGCAAAATCTTAAACTTATAAAGCAGCAACCTTTTTTGTAATCTCATGAGCAATGTAGGTGAAAAGACGTAAAAAGTTCAACGATCTAAATATCTAGATCGCTTCATTACATCCGTTGTATGTTCCTCAGAAATAAAATACGAAGAATGGCAATAGCCAAGACAGCGACAGCTTTAAAAAAAAAAAAATCTGTCCGATACTGAAAAACAGAAAGATCTCAACGATTACAGGTACCGTACCAAAATAAAAGTTCTAAGAGGTTTTATGTGGTCAACCCGTCTATACGGTTGTGAATGCTGGACAATTATAAGGACAGGGGAATAAAAATTGAGGTTGAGGTAACAGAAAATGGTGTTTCTTAAGATCAGACTTTTGATAATTTCGTGGAAGGAAAAAGGGCAAACGAGAAAATATTGAAAGAAGCCAACGTGGGCCTCTCACTAATAAGAACAATTAGGAGGCGACAAATGCAGTTTCTAGGACACACAAATCGACATAAAAGCTTTGAACACCTTGCTCTCACTGGGGGGATAGAAGGCAAACGAGGCAGGGGTAGACCAAAGCAGTGGCGTCGCGTGGTTTGCAGAGAAGGTGGTGCATAATTGGAAAATGAACAAATGAGCAATAGGCTTACTAGCTACTATTAAAATTGTAATGAGCGTTAGGTGGGCGCTCTGGTGTGGTCTGTTCTTTCTATTGCTTTCTGCGAGTCTCTCTGTGCGTGTTTGTATGTGTGCGAGAGAGAGAGAGAGAGAGAGAGAGAGAGAGAGAGAGAGAGAGAGAGAGAGAGAGAGAGAGAGAGAGAGAGAGAGAGAGAGAGAGAGAGAGGGGGGCAAAGAGACAGTGAGTGTAATTGATGACCAATCCTTGTCAGTGTCTGATCGATCAGTAAAAAGCAGACAATGGAAACAGTACAGTTTCAGCGTAAGCCATTCATACTTATCATACTACGTACAGGAAAAAAGAGCCAACAGTATTCTTGAGCTCAAAATCCCGCGGCTAATGAGGACCGAGCTCTTTTATGCGCACTTTCTCTTCTAACTGTAGCCTGCTGAATGGCACAAGAAGCAAAGCGTTAACATGATTCATCTAAATTTCTAGAGAAAGTCAGTTAGAATTTGCAAGATATCCCGTAATCTACATCTTTCGATATTTAACAACGGTTTCTAGATGAAACCGCATAAAAGCTGCAATAAAATGAAACAATACTAACAACTCACAATGCTCACAACCTGAGAAGATTTAAAGATTTCTAATTAGATCTACTTCGTGCAGCACCAACAATCAGACTCAATTTGAAAATTTACCTTAATTGTCCTTAACAGGACTTGCTACACAATAGAGGGAGACAACAGTTTCGATAGATTTACCCATTCTTCACTGAGTTAGGCCTACCGTAGCCTCTAGTGTAGTAGATACTAGTCAAGTAGCCTAGCGGAAACTTGGATCAAATTTTTAGCTTGCACCAAATTGGCGCTGCAAAGAGGAGTTTCACGCACCTTTCTTCTTGTGCGGGAAGAACGATGCCTAGATTTCTCTACAGTGACAAAAATAACTTTGGTGCAAAGATTTTGCTTGCTCCTAGCAGACACGACCGCAAGCGGTGCGACGAGCATAAACCTCCTCGCCATCTGTCTCTTCACTGGCGCGCGTGCAGCCAGCGGGTGACGGATCGCACGGATGTAGGCTTAGGCCAGTACTAGTACTAGTATCTAGAGCACTGATTGCACAGACTGGTTTAGAATAATTATAAAAGGGGGGAGGGGGGTGTGAAGGAAGGCCAGGGTTAGGTGGAGCGTTTGCACCAATTGCACCAATGGCGCCCCGCCACTGGACCAAAGACCTTACAACCTCCTTGGGGTACACCCAGACACTTATTTGAAAAACCTGAACTGATGGGTTAGATCTACGGGGAAACACCAGAATAGAAAAGATCTAATTGTGTTTTGTTTTGTCGAAGAGGCATCTGAGCACCCAAAAAAAAGAAGGAAAATCATGATCACCGAGGTCTGTTTCATCAATGCTGGTTGTTGCTTAGGTGGAAACTCTGCTTCTGCTGCACGTGTTACTGCTGGCACATGTCCAGTGTCCAACCTCTGCCTGTCGAAATGCGGCTGTCAATAAAGCGGTTCCCCGTTCACTCGTGCACAGTTAAGTGTTGCCTTTGACAGTACTAGATTCTACGTCTTTCAAGATCAAGATGCTATAGATCTAAAAAATTGAATCCTGAAATGTTTATTCTTGATATTATTTATTGAAGAAAAACATAAATTCATGCAAAAATGAACCCCCTCCTTGTAAACAGTCCTGCTTCATGTTGCAAAATCGCGCCATTGCAACACACACACACACACACACACACACACACACACACACG